GAATCCATAAATTGAGTAGAATTTTTTTATAAATCATCAAAACTCATTAAACCTGCAAAGTCTAACAGCTTCTAAGCCTTTTATGCAATCTTAACCTAAAAACTCACTATGATCGATAGCTTTCGTGAGCCTTAAATAAGAATTTTGACAAGTTATTAAGCATTACTTACGAAATTGAGGTTCATTCTCATTAAAAATAACTATACCATCGATCATGATCATTCTCCATCATAAAAAGTCACGAGCGGTCTTGATCATAAATTTTATCTATTTTAGAATCAGCTCATTAAGCCATAATTTCTGAAAGATCAGCTCTTTGTAGAATTCTCACAAAACTCATCAAAGGGTTTAGTTGGCAAAACACTCCTATTGCACTATTATGTGTAATAACAATTTAATTTCATATTTATAGTAAATTTTTTCGGAGTCTTCAGGTAACGGTTTATTACCAGAGAGCAATGCTACATATTTTTTTGTGGCATTTACTTCCTTTTCATGTTTTCTTCATTTTTTTTACAAACTTTGTTGCTATTCACTGTACATATTATGAAAAAGGCATAAGAGAACTATAAAGAAATAAAAAAAAAAAAGTTTTGTATACAATGAATGATGCGAAGACATGAAAAGACGTCACGGCTAATTGCCTAAAGAATTGAAAATTGTATATGTAACTATTTAGAGGAACATGGACACGAATGTACGTGCCAAGAAAAAAAAAACTCGTTAATATCGAAATAAATTATCATCGACCGTATTAAATAATATAGCATTAAAATTGGGTCTGATCATCATGCACATTAAATAGATGAAAATTCTCTTGATGGAGCGATAAAATTGATTTTTGTGTTAATAAAATATATGGGACATTGGACCATCTTGATGCTCATCCTACAAAAAATAAAATTCATTAATATATTCCATCAATATTCACCGGAGACGATGCTGATTAGATTTCTTATACGTGAACGCTAATCCGATATTTTTGGTGCAGTTTTTTATAAGATAATGCCGCTGGTGCTTGCGATTTGTCTGTCTGAATGAATGGGAAAAGTCAGGGACCAAAATCAGTTGAGGGTTTAAATAATGTTTTACTTTGACTAGTGTCTAATCTACTAGAAAGAGAGTTGATACCTAGAATAGCCCTAGAAACGTCTAAGAGCGATCCTCAACTATTTACAAATTTAAACAAGCTTGTTTCAAAAATGCGCTCTAAATCACCACACCCGAGGACTTTCCTACTCGTTTACAATTGGAAACTTTTTCTTTCTCTATCTCTCTTGCTTACTTACATTTTTCTTGGAATATTTATGTTAGGTTCATTGCCATTCAACATTATTGCTTCTTACTTTTTTAATTCCACAGATATAAATATGTAGACTAAGAATAATATGTAAGACCTTCTTAAAGGTGATGTGACAATCTGGTGAAAATAGAAATTTATTATGTTAATTCTAATTCTATATGCTACATCGAAGACGTGAATATTAGCACAGAATTTGCAATGAATTTAATACGTTCGATGCTAGGTGATAATAACGATTGAGGGTGCCTTCATTCAGGTGGAAATTTATGAGTTTTCTCAGTTAATCGTAAGTGAATTGAATTTGGAAGATAATAAATTTGAATTGAGCACTAGCTTAAAGATTCTTATAGTGTGTTGCCACGTACATTAAGGAAGAATAAGAATGAATTTATTCTGCGGTTTGACATTATGTCCAAATGTTTTTCTGGGAGAATTGTCAACTAGAATGGACAATTTAAGTTGATTCAATGTGACAATATTTCGGAGCGAATGGTGTTGAGTAAAATTTATTGGAAATTTGTGATAAAATCTGGCAACATTCATGGGATTCGGGGTCATTTGCTAATGACGTTTCGACATCTTAGGCTTGGTTTTGCCAGCTACTAGCTTAACTTCCGCAGCATTGAATTTATGCAATTCTAACCAAAAATGTAGTTGTAAAAATCTTCGGATATCTATAGACGTTACTTATGGACGACCCCACACGCTTCTAAATTCCAACATGTCTTGAAAGTTTATCTTTGAAAAAAAAAACAATAAAATTTTTAATGTCTACTCGCTTACCTGATTTGTGTTCCAAATCATTGTCCAGCATTAGCGAAATTTCTAATGTGCCTAATCAGTGCTTAATATCAACAATTTTTTACATGAGTTGACAATTTTTTTGCGTGCTTTTTCGCCCAAATTGGACATTTATTTTACTAACCTACTTTTATAGCCATTTATGACAATCTTCTATTCGTATTTTATTCATTATTATGGTGATGAGCTTCGGTTGCTTTTACATACAGATTTAAGAGGTGCTTTATGGATATTTCAGCAAAATATGATAGCAGTAAATTCCAACAGTTTATGAATTCTTTATGCTTCCTTATGACTATAGCTTGAATGTTAATATCGTAAATTGGTATTTAACACTGATTTCGCAAGTCACATTGTTTTGAGTGGTTTCGTCTTAATGATCCATTAAGTTGCGGTTTTGCGGAGTGAATTTTAGCCAAGTGATTGTTTTTAATCAAGATTGGTTCCGAGTTGTTACGTTTTTCGCACATGTGAGGGTCATTTGTGGCTATTTTTGAAAGGAAAACAAGCTTAAATTGTGATTACATTCAGTCAGAGGGTTGGATCATCTGAAATAATGAATGACAGTGTCACATACTAGTTTGACTCAGATTTCATCCAGATTTAGTTCAAGCTATTAAGAAATGCGCTTCCAAAAATCGTCACACATGACCCACCACCAACCTCATTCATTCAATATATGCGAACGGAAAAATTGCTTTTTAATATGGACATAAATTTTAATTGAAATTTAATCACTCAGTCAATGTGCCTTCGGTGTTAATTTCATTAATTTTCTTTTTTGGCACATTCGTATTTACATATTCATTATAAATATATAATGTATAGCCTATAATATCCGAATGGCTATAGAAATTAGGTGAAAATTGGAAATGCTAATTATTGATTGTTAATTAAATTCATAAAAAAAAGATATTGAATGTTCTCCGGCAGCACCAGCTGGTATCACACTGAATGAATGAAAATAAAGCTAAAAATAACGAAAGTTGTCCGAAAAGCAAAAACCCAAAACAAGCAGCAGCAAAAACAACAACAACAGGCTGTAATAAGTGAACGACAACACCCAATGATGACTAAGCCGCACGCTTTTATTCAGCAATAATGAGCAATATTCTCGATTGACTGGAAATAATTTTAATAAAATTGTAATCATTATTTTATTATTGGCTGTGTCACAGGGAGTGCAACCAACGCACAGCGAAATTCCTATGTGACACTTTGAATGACAATAACAAAAAAAAAAAAAAATCTCTAACTCACACACCCGCTTTGCCTCATTGTTCTGTGCTTTTATATCTGTCCATATAAATTTATATTCAAATCAATAATTCAGATCACCAGAGTGCTATTTTAAATATGCAAATTATTTGTTTAGCACATCGCCAGTGGAATGTTTTGCTATTATTTAGCACGATTGTGATATTTATGTCAATCAAAAATTAGCAGTATGATTATAATTGTTAGTATTACCATTCAGCATCAAGCACAATGTGATTGAGAAGAAAAACAATTAAAATTAAATATAAAGAAGAATATCAATGGGGTTCATTCACATATGATGGGGATATTAAGGGGTCTGAAGCTGTGTGACATTAGGTATCGAGCAGGAGCGTAGCCAGGAATTTGAAGAGGAGGACAAGTTTTTTTGTATGGAAACTTTTTAGGGGGGGGGGGGGGGGTATTTTTCGAGTTTTTTTTATAAAAACTCTAGCAAAATGAAAAAATTTCTCAAGACGAATGGGGATTTGTCCCCCAAATCTCCCCCCCCCCCCCCTGGTTACGCGCCTGGTTTCGAGGCTATTACATGAAGAGTGGTTTGGTTTGCAAGAATCTATGGAAAATGCAAGGGTGCTAAGTTTCGCACCCTTGGTAAAATGTAAAATACAGTGAAGGAACGGGTGGACGGGGGTTCAGAGACCTTACTCATTTGTTTTAGATCTCGATATTAATGTAAGATGCAGGCATTTAAGGATTGATGTTGCCGCGTTGTCTAGACTAAAGTTCTTGAATCGTTCTAACCTAGGAACCGAAAATTCATCATCCCAATGATTCATAGTTTTTTAAATTAAGAAATTTAAAACCTCAAATTCTGTAATGTACCCAATTCACAAACAATCCCCTCCAATTAATATTTGTGAAATAAAAATCTCTTAAAAATATTTTAAAATTGCACAATTCAAGGCAATTTTTATTCCAAATCGAATGAAGCTTTATAACATGAAATCACCGTACGTATAGAGAATAGCCATCATCACACGAACTGTTGAAATGAAATGTTTCTGAGGCTTGTCATTTTTCTATTTTCGGTAGATCGAGATGATGATCACTTGTATTAGAATTGACTGCTTTGGATGTTGTTTTGTTAAATTCTCGTTTATTTCTCAACACGATAGCTTGTAGAATGTGAGAATCCCGCGATGACCTGTTTAGGGCTTTGTTGCCAGATTTTCAATCTTTCTATATGCGCATCGAATATACAGCATTGAACTTTTATAATAGCTTGCTTGTTGTTTTTGTCATGACGCGATGTTGTTTTTTTTGTGTATGCACAAATATCATCATTTTCATCATCATCTGCAATATGAATGGAATTAGATTTGTTTATATTAATTTAAGCATTAAAAAAACTATTATATGTCTGGCACTCACTTTATTTCATTATGTTCTCGTGATACTAAACTCTCCGCAGGCCACATTTGAATGCAAAAACAGTGGAGAAACTTTTTTTTTTCGTACTCAATTCCAACTCTCTGTTGCAAATTCGTGCAATTAAATATTAAAATGATTTTTTTTGTTCATCTTGTGCAAGCTACGACCACCCTTAATTTATGCATTTTAAGTCAATAATATCTCGCTTATTTTATCTCATTTCGTTCTTCCTTTATTCTCTCCATAGGTTCATTACGCCAACAGTCATCAGAATTCAGCAGACTATACACTTCACAAGTGCGACATCTCGATGGCGAAGGCAGCACCTAGACATAACAGCAATGAACTTCAAACACCAAGCGAGTAAGTATCATTAAGAATGTCACTCTATTCATTTCAATCACACTTTGTCTCACATTTCGAGAGAGTATTGTCTCCCTCATCTATGATAGATACAGCATGTGCAGAACTTTAATGTTCAACTTTTAATTAAATATATTTCTATCGCCTCGATTTGTTCGAGCAACAGCAACAGTACCGAAAAAAAAAGTTTACTTCCTTTTGTTTCTTTTCCTCTCGTTACGAGCGACGAGACAATTAAGAAGTTTCTTTTGCTGCTATTTCGCGTAATTCTTCCAGAAAAAAAATTGAAGGAACTGAACACAAAATTTAATCAGAGTTTTTATTGTTTAAAAATATCGATTTTTCTTCTTTCTCTTCCTTTTTCTTGTCAAGTTTATTATCGTTTATTTCCCTCGTGCCTTATGTGAGCACGGCAACACATTTTTTAGAGGAAGCGAGATAGAGATGCGGAGCACTGAAATTGGTGTGCTTGTCGTTATAATAATTTAACGCAATCGATACAATAAACATAGCCGACACAGTAAAAAAGAATTCGATATGCTGTAAGGGGGTGTCATGTTTGTAAAATTATAGAAGGTATGGAACTAAGGCTGAATGAACAAGAAAGACAGAAATTATTAAAACCTAGCTATTAGAGAGCTATTTAAGAGTACGTACCCCCTTGAACCCTCCTCATGCACACGCTCCTCTCCAATATTCTAGTATCTGAACATTGTGTCACAAGCCATAGTCAATTCAGACCAGAACAAATTAATTCACAACTTTTATTTTGAAAACATGTTACCCCTCATGAAATGTGCTACAAATATCAGAAAGAGCGAAGGAAATTGAGGGTGAGGGACCGAAGGATGTGGCAAAAAATCCGTACCAAAATAAAAATAAAAAGCACAAAGAAGAGAAATGAGCATATACACATTTACTTAGCTAGTGATGTAGTATGAGAGGGGTGGATTTATAGTTTATTAGATAAGATTTAGATCGACTTTACGTTTCTCTCTCTCTCTCTATCTTTCTTGTTCCCTTGTCGATATTTATCCCTGCTATCTGCTTCGTCCATTTGATCGGCAAATAAAAAGGAGATTTATCAAAGAAGAAAAATTAGTTTGACCACAAAAGTTTCGCCCCTACATCCAATATTTACTTACAAACCGATATTATTTACTTATTAATAAAGTTTTCTATTTTCATCCATTTATGGCTTAATTTAAATGATAAGACAAGCAGAAAAAGAGAGTCAAGACATAAATAAATGAAGTGTTGAAGCTGTTATTTATGTTTTCAATTTTTTTTAACTTTCACTTCTAATTATCATTGTTAATATGAAAGATTTTCTAATCACTTATTTCCATCATTTGCCACTAATGTCTTAAATGCTTTCGGGATGCGTACATAAATGATGTTCAACTTATTGAGAGCGTGGGGTTTTCAGTAATGTGACTATTGTCTCATATAATTGGTGTGGGGCTTGAAAAAATCCTATTTCTTGATAGACGTCATTTACAAATAATCCCTCATCATGTTGTATGAATTATTGTTGACGATAAAAATGAAAATTAGTTAATTGACGGCAATTATAAAGGAGTATAATTGATGATAAAGATTAACATTGCTTGTCACGGAATTATTCTATTTTTTGATATCATACTTCTTCATCAAGGCATACATTCAGAGAGAAAATTTATTATATTGTGACGGTGCGTGCTTAGCAAGGATGAAAATGAAGATAGATTAAAAGAAGAAGCAGAAAATGAGCAGAAAGAATTATGAAAATCAAATTTTATGTCATAATTTTGCGAAGCACGCTTATCGCTGTTATTATTATGTGAATAAGAAATAATAATGATAAGATTGCAAAGAAGAAAGTACAGAACATTGAGACGTTGTCTGCCTTCTTGTTCTTTACATGTTTCATGTGAATGTTCTAGCTAAATTCAGGGGTGGGAAGTTGGTGCTTTCTTGTGGTTGGCATTTCTTAGCTAGAGACTGAAAACTAAGATTGCTGGTCATAAGTGTAGAATTAAGAAACCATAAAAGCTTAAAGTGTGACTAGACGCTACTCAAGATACTACAAACCAACGTCCAGTAAAGTCAAAGCTAATAGGTAAGGGATGATGCACGCATGCAAAATCACCCGATTGCCAGCTCTGATCAAAATTTCCATGTGCGAGCTATATAGCTTGTTTCAATTTCTACTTTATTTTATGAGTACGAGGGAGAACCTAAATGTAGGAAGCGATTTGATTAGCATTATCTTCAATTTATTCTTATTATGCGGAAGAGTATTTACAGGCCCCCTCGTACTCTCAAAACTTTATTCTTCTCTCTGCCGTCTCTTTGCACTTCTCTTATCATTGTCAACAGCAATTGCCTTCATTGCCAATTCATGTGGTATTAAAGTCATCTCTCGTTCTCTCTCTCTCTCTCTCTGTTTTTATTATTGTGCTTATGTGCCGCATATTTCTTTTTATATATTCATTGCTATGAAGGATGAAGCCAAATATTTCTTTATATCCACTTTTCAATGTGTTCTGCCTCTTCTTACTCTCCTCAATACACAAAAAAAAAATATTATTTGACATTCCTTAAATATGCTAATTAGTTTTTGAATTTCTATAGTAAACATGTATATTTTACGTAATATGGAAATTGCTCGTTTTCAAGACTCTTTCTATCATTCTAATTTCCTGTAACAACAATTATGGTTTGATGGCTTATAGTTTCCTTTATTTGTTTGTCTGTTTGTCACACGTGATACTACTTATATTATGTAACTTTTTATGGAGGTTTTGTGTTTGTGGCTATTGGGTGTAATGTTTATGCTGTATTTTGGAGACTAATGGTGACCTAAAAATTTTGATTATTGTCTATAAGTTGAGAATTATAGCTACATTTGAGCTTAAGCTGGTCAATATATTGTTTCGTGGTCCAGGGAGCCACTGTTGTTGCTCATGCACTGTTTATTGTTACTATTTGCATCAAGTCTGTCATGAAAGTGCCACTTAATGTCCCAATCAGAAAATTTTCCTTGTTTTCTAAAAAAATAACTCCAAAAATCCCTAATTCCCAGAATCTTCTGTTTTTGACATTTTTCTGACATCAGCAAATCAGATTTTAAACGAGATGATGTTACTAGTACGCTCGTTGTCCTTATTCATCAACCTCCACCCCCAAAATCACCCCTCATTACTCACATCATCTTACATTTGAGGTATTAATTATAGACTAAAGAGATCCAACATAGTTGAGGTTTTGACAACAGTTTCTTTATCCAAAATGTTTATTAATTATAGTCTGGAATTTTCGGCAAAATTTCTTTAGGAACTGCCATAGATTCCCTTTTTTAAAAATGAACAGTCTTGATGATTGTTGGCACCCTTTTTAGTTCTTTGGATGAAAAGTTTATCTTTGCTTCATTATTGTTGACTGGATATTGAATGGAACGGAACAAAGTCTATAGTCAAATCTATGTGTGATTCTAAATACAGCATACGTAATGTTATGTCTGAATAGGAAACTCTGGTAAATGCTCGAAGTAAAAATATTTCTAAAGATAAGAGACCAAAAATCTGTTTGGAATATTCAACACACAAAAAAAGTGAATTCTTTTTACTACAGCATTAACATTGAAAGGCACAGAAAAAAAAGGAAGTAAAACAGCACACAGAATTTGTAGACTTGCGCATTGGCAACATTTTCATACAGAAAGGAAATTTTTCGAAAATCAGAACTTTTCTCTCTCATGTTTTTCTCTTATGTCTGCATTTTATTGCTTCTGTGTGTACTTCTTCATTCTTTTTTTTGCCGAAACATAATAAACATGAAAAATTCTCCCGCACAAAAAAAAAAATCTCTGCCGGTATCTATGCTTTGCTGGAAAAAAAATTCATTGCTCCCTTTTTTTTGTACATGTGTAAAAATCGATTTTACTCAACTCTCAAAAATGCGCTTAAAAACAAAAAAATAAAATGTTTAATATACTGAAGGCACTTGTGAAAGGGAAGAAAGGAATGGTAAAAAAGTCAAAAAGTATGTTTCTTTAATTTTAAAGCACAGCGGTATTTGTATGGATGTTAGTTAAAAGTATTACATTTAAGGGGGTCGTTTAGAAACGATGTTAATACAGTGGAATCTGCGAAGATACAGTGACTTGGTATGTATGTATGTTATTTCCATCTGTAGCTTTAAGTTTGAGAGTGGTACTTAACATAGATGTTAAACTATTAAGAGCTCTTCTAAGGCGTTAGTAAAGCTTTTGTTCTCATTGCATCGAGCTATGACAGAGCTCGACGTTGATGAAATTTTGTATGAAGTCGAGTCGACTTCGAGCTTTGAGCCTATGCATATTATCGCTTTTCATAAGAAGCTGGGCTACAAACCTGACTTACACAAATTGAAATTGTGTCCATAGAAACAATTGTGCATCAAAAGACCAAATGAGGGAATTTATTGATCAAAACTTGATCTTAAATCATGATTTTCGATTCCCCCTCCAAACTAATGGACATCATTAACGAACTATCCCATCTTGAATACAAGTTATATGTAATGGATTGAATTGAAATAAAATAAAAGAAAAAAAAGGTTTCAAGAGTTCAAGAAGTGATTTGTAAAGTGGCTCCATTTCAATTTTAATGAGCGACATAAGTGGATACTTTAGTATAAAATACATGAACATGTTCATTCGAACATACATGAGCACACACATATATATGTACATACATGTATGGTGCCTACTTATGAAATGTTAATATATTCTTTCGCAATAAACATGATGAGAACGAGGGCATAACGATGAGAGTAAAAGTAAAAAGGCATTTAGATAATCAATTATGACGCCATAAATATATTTGCCACCTTCACTTCTATAATCGTATTTAACGCGTAATTGAATTCTCCTTCATAACAAATTAGTGCATACGTAATTGCATATTCATTGTGCATTTAAAAATTTCTCGGTTGACGACAAATACGACAACAATGAGCAAAAGTGCATACAAAGATTTGTAAAACCAGGGGAAAAAAAAAAATAAAATGGAATTAATGGTGGGAAAATATTCAGCAGTATTGTTCATATTCTACGGTTAAGAGATCCATTTATGCATTTATGGGAAATTTCAAGTTTTTGCAGCTCGTCGTCTACGTCTTACTTACCTTCCTTAAGCACAGAACTTCCTCGATTATATGAATCATGCATGAACTCACAACATTCACAAAACTGCAACATAAACGTACATACGATAGTAATGTGGCACTTACATTGTGCCATAAAAATACCTTTCCTACATGAATGAGACTCATAATAGAGGAATTTTTCACAAGGGAGTCGTAGCTTTTTTTTTTTGCGAAATGAAATAGCAAGCAAAAAGTTTTAAGCTGTTTATAGTTTGCCAAATGAGATTTTTACACTTTTTCTTTTTGTTCTCCATATGCTTCATAGTTGCATTTGTAAGGCTTTTTTGTCTACAACTTAGACAAAGCATTTATGACGTCACCTCCACGCAGAAGTGTTGTTTGGGATCAAGAGCTTAAACTATACTCATTAAGTCTGAAGTCAAATTTAGGGTTGCTAAGTGCTTACATTGGTTAGACATACTTCAATTCTAGACCTTGACTCTTGGACATACATAGAATCACTTTAAAATTAAAACAGAACCACTTACTTGATGACATTTATGTCTGTAATCTAGATCAGGAGACTGTGAGCTTCATTTTAAGTGTAATGCAGTTCAAAAATGTGACTAGCTACCCTGTCGAGTCTTGAATCCATGATTTCTGTGTCGGTGTTTGATGTTTTATGATTAAATGTCCTTGAAAAGTTTGAATAAGTTCAAAATAAATCAGCTTAATACAGTTTCTTAAGGATCTATTAGAAAATCATTAAAGAGAGACTCCAAAATTCAATATTTTAAATTTACATCAAGATTCCAACTCTTCCACAACCTTTGTTTTTGTCTGAGATGCTATACTTTTTGCTATACTTACTACAGAGTACGAACTATGTAGAAACAATAATATTACACAAGAAAATATTTGCTTTTTGCATTACAGTTCTTTTAAAGAGCAAGATTTCATGTGTTTATTTAAATAATTTATTCTGAGGCAACTGAGGCAATATCGACTCAAGCTACACCCCGAATATATGTATTTAAAAAAAATTCTAAAAGTATGCATTATATTCATAAAAAATTAATTCCTCTCTTTCTTCCGTGATATCAGAAATATCTGAAAATGCATTCATGTACACATGTACGGACTGCATATGCGGCATCGAAGCGGAAATGAATCAGAAAATACATGCAACGGCAATTGCAACGGTTTAGTGGTTTCCACAAAAATATATAAAAAAAAATTGTAAAGGGATTGGGGATTGTTTTATTTACTCGAGTTATTTTCTATTTCTATTAATTTTTCCAATATGAACGACGATTTATTTCTTTTTTCAATCACCGATAATTAAAATTTAATGGAAGAATAATTTATTTTTCTATTATTTTAAAATCAAGTTTTGAATGTCATTGCATAAGCGGAGTCATTATTTATTCATTTCCTTATCAACACATCGATAAACCGCGTACAATGTATTTTAGATTTTAAGGCATTGCATCCGCTCAATTCGACTATATATTTTGTGGATATTAGAATGCAAATTAACATTTTCTAGTTCATTATGCTCATTAGATTTCAATATTCTTTTGACACCATCCATTTAGGGCTGTAATAATTGAAAATTCATGATAAATTATGTATACCCAAAAATGGATGAATCAAGGTTGGATCTGGCATTAATTTATATCACTTTACAGCAATCGAAGTGACAATTTGTAGCTCACGTGATGTTGTTGGGTCTTTACATGCAATAAATATTATAAAACCGATAATAAGGTGTCAAAAAATGGTATTTTTAATTAATTGGATGTTTTGAGTGTGAGTTGGGTGACCATTCATCAATTGTCAATCATTCAAGTCAAAAAATGTGTTTACAAATATTTCGAAAATGAAAAAATTAATAAATTAAAGTTTATGGAATAATTATGATGATTTGCTAAGAATTTTGAATGTAAATAGCTTTGCTCATTGCTGCTTTACATCGTTCAATCTTAATTTCATTCAATAAACTCCAAATTTAGTCAATAATTAAGTCCAAAGTTTTCAAGTGAGAAAGTAAACAAATGATTATCGAACTTGATTTTTTCGAGTTCGAAAAAAATTTTGTTTTGAAATTTTGAGAAATCATTGATTGATATTTGTTGAAATCAAAGATCTAAAGTTTGTTTTGACATTTTAAGGTAAATTATCAATCAAAAATCACAAAGCTAGCCATCCTCCAAGCTAAAGAGTTCACAAACCTATCCATCGCCTGCCGCAGCAATTAATTGCATGAAAAAGTCAAACAAAACATTGGAAAAAAATGAAAAACGAGCTCGATAATTAATTACACAGAAAATCCTTCATTGTAAATCGATCATGAAATTAAAATTGGAAATGTGTGCATTAATAAACGTTTCTTAAAAGCAAAGTGCAAGCTTTTCAGAGCGAAATAATTGGTAGACATTTTGCACGTTTCTGACATGGATTGATGAAGGTGTGCTCTTGAATTAACAATTTTGCCCTTCACGTAACACCGCATTTGTGTTAAGTACATCAGTTTAAAACTGTATATACACGAAATTTAACTATACGTGTTCAAATAAAATTTACAGCACTACATAGATGTCATTATAAGATTTCTTACACCAAAAAAAAAGTAGTTTTAATGTCTTGAGCACATGCTGAAGATAGTAAGATGTTAAATAGATGTAAGCGCTTTAGATTTATTTCGACATGAGAGACAAGCTGAAGCGCTCTTGAAACAATGAATTTTTTTTTCATTCTCTGTGCTGGAAAAATTGAAGAGAAAGAAATTCCATCTTCTTATATCCATCTTCATTCACGATCTGCTACTTGAGAAATCCTCATTCCAATTCGACACAACGCCTCCATTAAATTTCCGCATTTAGTAAAAACAACAAATTTCTTGTGCGATTAAATTGACTTTTTCGAAAAATCAACTATTCCCATCGCTCCATCTCACTTCCTTAAGACATGTTCAAGAAATTAATTTGAATAATTAATCATTTAATACAATTATCTCATGGTTTCAATATTTAACTAATCTTTTTTCTCTCCATTCATTCTAATTTACTTACAGGACTGGAACAGATGAAGTGGAAAAGTCTTTGGAATTGCTCGATAAAGTCTTGTCGGAATTTGAAGAAGAGCAAGACAGTATACAAGTTGGTGCTGAGCCTGAGAGTCCATCGCAAGGCCATCAATCAGAAGACGATGGCTACATGTCCATGAATGGAAGAAGGTAATTAAGTTCTCATTTTTTATGCAATAGTTGGAATGGGTTGGAATGTCTTCTAGATCCTTGTGTAAATGCAATCAGGATTTTGAGATGAAGATTGTTGAGAAAAGGAGCAGGTGTGCCTTAATAATGACTTCTTCTATGACTCCTTCTATCCTAGCTTAGCTAAATCTAACCTCACTATTGTGTAACCTGTTTTCACTCTAATCAAGTTTAGTCTTTGTCTTCTTCTCTAATCCTTAACTCAAAAGTTGTAAGAACAGTGGGCAAACTCAAAATCTAAACTTACCAAATCCTTAAATTCTATTCAACTCAAATCTGAACTGAAAAATATGAAAGGAATCCAATGAAAAAACATTGAGCAAAAATATTCCGATAATCTCTTTAAACTCACTTCGTGTCAAGCTACAGAAATCCTCTCGCAAAGAACATAACTCTCGGATGAATGACATTGCTTCATTAAAATTGAATGACAAACTTCTGAAGTTTGTGTTTCGCGAAAAAATCATCTGAAAATATCTGACATAATTCAACCAAGGTTACAGTGGCTTTAGTTTTGTGTAATAAATGCGGCTGGATTTTTTTATTTTGAAATTTTATTTCATTTTAAATGTACCATTTATTATAAGGGATTATGCAAGAACACAAACCATTTAGGAGTCATTATTTATATTTTTTTGTTGGAGTTTGGAAATTTTATTTTAAAGTAAAATATTTTTTTTTATTATTTTAATGCAATTTATTCCATATTTTCATTTTCGCTTCTGGTAAAGTTCTCTGAAGTGGATTATTAAAATAATAATAATCTCATTAATCATCTTATTTTTTCCGCATACTTAAATACGTACATCTCTCTCACTCTCGATGTCTCCCAGATGCAGGGGCATGTTACAGAGGTGGGAGTGGGGTTGCCTTAAAAAACCCTCTCTGCCATAGTTTTTGACACTCGAAGCTCAATTGCTATTCCCTTGATACTCTCCAGCCTCCCTAAATACACCCCTAGTCTCTCCTGACGTATGTATTGAGGACCGGCCTATGTCGTCACATGTATAAATACAGAGCAATGTAAGAATAGCAGAACTGAAATTTAATACGATCTGAATATTTAATTTAGTAATTTTTCACAACTGAGAGAATTTTTATACGCCTTGAGAACTCTCTGGAGCATAAAAGTTTGCATAGCGATGGTTGTTGTTAGGAAGAAAATAAGCAGAAAAAAGCGAAAGTTGAAACAGAACAGAGTCGATGGAGACATGATAAAGATATTGTATATAAATTCTTCATTCATAATGTTGTGTCTTTTTCCCTTTTTTTCGCATTCCTCATCCACAGTGATTTTATTTTCATTAAAAAAAATTTCTTTCCCCCTTTTCAATTTATTTTTACTCGACTTCAATTTACTCATCACACTTGTCGGTCGGTTGCTTCCACGCTTCTTTAATAATGTAAACAACGCAAAATGATTTAATTAGAATGAAAATTTCTTAAATAAATGAAATCTTCTAATGCGGTCGACAGGTGGCTCATTCATAAATGATGTCTATTTCTTTTAAATGCTCTGACCTCCCTCTTGTACTCAAAATTTGGAAAATTTAAAAAAATATCACCATAGACCCCCAACCATCCTAGAAGTCATTTATAATCATCCCCAATTTATCTTTTCACTTACCATCGTTTCTATTTTTACCACTGTCGCATGGATATTCTTTTTGAAGAGACGAAGTGTGCCGGAATGCAATTGCTGAAAGATTAAATTTTAATGGAAATGATTTCGTCCGTAATGAGACTTATTTAACTAAAATATGAGATTATGCGCCTTAAATCAAAATTAATCAAAATGTTAAGGCGGCACACAGCTTTTAATATTTGCCGTTAACATCCAACTGACTATTTATTTTTACTTACTTCAAACTGTCACTTATTTCTGGAACTGTTGGTGTTGTAAAGGACTTGCAAATAAAAAATGTAAATTAATTTTTTTTCTGCCCCGCATCACTGGCAACGGCGAAAAAATAAGCGTTTATGGGAAAGTTTTTTTTTCAACGGAGGAGATCACATAAATTATCAAATTCCCTCTTGTACTTCCTTTTTAGCGGATACAGCTCTTGATGAAAAAGGAGGTTTTAATTACTATTTGTCTGTCTGACTGTCTGGTTTTCTTAAATTTCTCAAAAAACTCAAAACTTGTAAATTTGAAATTCAATCAACCGTTATTTTTGAATTTTTCAAGTTCGTTAATTTTTTAATTTTCAAAATACGTTAATTTTTAAAATTTTCAATCAGTGTGACTTGAGATTTACTCATGCTTCATACAAAATGCGCCCTAACGACACATTCATAAGGTCCCACAAGTTGAACTATGCTTGCGCTTTTTAGTATGAATATGAAAATGAATATAGGAAAGAAAGACAAAAAAGTCTGTCTCCCTGCTTCCATCTCACCCCTATTTCCGTAAAAAAATACACAAAACAATTTTTGCATGTTGAATGTTTTACGGTTTTTTGTTTTTCGACTTAATATTTGTTGAATGTGTACATTTTTCAGTCCTCATAGTAAGGCATTCATCTGAATTGGAAATCTACAAATCCTCCTTTTTTTTGCCATTTTCACTTTTCCTTTTAAAATTAAAATTTTCCTGTCGTCTCATCTTCATTTTTCCCATTTTCTCATCCGTTCTTTCAGAGCAAAATTTGTACCTGACTTTCTGCCGACTGAGGAGGTTGCAGCATCTCATTCCACACTAGCATCAACAACTACAACAACAACAATAACGACAGTACATCCTGGTGATGTGCCGCATAATGAAAAATTTTCACCTCCCACGCCTGAAGAAGCAGAACGTATTATATCAAATCTTCTACCACAGTAAGTAAAATTTTCTTTTTCTATATTGTAGCTATTTTTTGCTACTACACCTTCGAAATTCTGAGTGCTCAGTGTTGGGAATTGGGGATTTGCTGTCATTGTTCAATGATCTTCTTCAGTTTGATTACTAGCAAAGGTCAAAGTGGTCGATAGAAGTGCATTAATGAGAATAGTGAAGTGGTTAAATACGATGACCAACTCAAGATAGCTATGGGTTCGAAACCTTGTGAGATTGCCTGATGCTTGATGCTGTATTCTAAAAGCTTCAGAGCATCAAAGTCAGTTAATCAACTGAGGCTTCTGGAGTCAACACTTATAAACTGAGCTCCTACCTCCACTGCTTTAGTAAAATAAATCAAAGTCAATCTAGAACCCCTATAGGCACCTGCCACCCAACCCCGACTCTAATCCCCAATCCATCCAATAACCCAGCCATGATAGATAGACGAGAAGTGAAAAGGAAGTGAAGAAGAAAATTGTGTTGGATATGAAATGAAAAATCATTTCAATTTTCTCGCTTTCTGAACTTTGATTTCCTTATCAGTTCATTCCCGTTGTCGTTCATCAAAGTGCCGTCATGCTATTACATGGAAGTAAATACATCTGCTCTTCCTTACAACCGACAATGATGATAATAATAATAATGATGATGATGATGTAATACTCTCTAGCCTCCACGGAAATGATGTAATTGCAAAAATGCCAACTCTAATGGTAAAAAGTATTCAACCTATTGTAGTTGTGAACTTTTCTTTCGATTTGACATTAAAATGTCACACAAAAGAGAATGAAGAGGAAGAAAAGCAAAAGATCTCATGATACGGCGACGACAGAAACATGTCAAGTTCATTGACATCGAGGTTGTATATGTTTTATTTTTTTTTTCACATACTAAGTCATTTAATGGCATTTAATATCATAAGTCTTCCCCTCGCGTATTTTCGGTTCCGCACAATATACACTTGCAACTACACCACATCGTATAAATATGTACATACGTTTTTGTTTTTTATTCTTTATCTAATTTCGAATGCATAAGCTCTCATACTGTCTCCGTGGTGAAATGAGTCGACACATTGGCGTATATTCTTTATTTTTTCTGTTTTGGAGGAAGTTGTTTCTCGACACATTTGCTTATTGCTATTAACAGAGTTGGAATTTTGGGATGTTGGAATCACTGGTTGCAAGCTCTATGATGGGGACTTATGTATAAAGTGTTTGGTTGCTTGGTGTACCTTAAGTTTTGAACTTTACCAGGTGTAATTCCCAGATGTCATGTTCTACCCTGTAACTTAGAGTAGATATCAGCTACCAGGTCCTACCATAATGCTATGGACGCCTTCTACTGATGAGAAGCCAAAGCCAATAGCTGCAAGTGACCTGGTAACCTCCAAACCAAATCAGACTAAGATATTACACCAACTCTGTCGCAATGACTGCTTTGCACTAGATATCAAGTCCTTAATGCCTGAGACAATTTAAATAAAAGATGTGCCGACGAGGGTGGAACAATGAAGTGAATAGATTGAGAGCATATCGTCATCATCATCAAAGTAATAATAATGATAGTTAAAGAAGAAGGGGGAGCAAAGTGGGAATTGGGGATATCTGTTACTTTTTTTCTGCCGCTACACTTGCTTGATGGCAAATGACAATGGGAACAATAATAAAACTGATGAAGTTTTTCCTTTCATTCTAGCTTAATTTTCTGACAAAAAAAAAACAATTTATTTTTTTCTTCTTTCCACAGCATTTCACCATCAACGACTCAAGGGGATCTCAACATTTCAGCGATGCCTTGTATTGAATTCAAATTTAATAATAATAACAATAACATTCTCACATCAAATTTATCATTCGGCACGAAATTTTCTTCGATTGTCGAATCTGAAGCATCATCAACTTTAAATTCTCTAGTTTCAACAAATGCTCCACTTCAAACAACGCTGGTGAGTGTATATTTAATTTTGTTTCTCTCACTCCTTTTTTTTTAAAAAAAAAAGCATGAATCTCGGTTGAGGCAAAAAGACGAATCTTTTGAAATTTTTCTTTCTTCTTTCATCTCTGGTTATTTATCATGAATTTTTGATCTGATGCCGATATGCCATGGGAATATTTATAAATATTTCTTGTTATGATTTTTCCTTATTGGAAGCAATATATTTTGCATTAAAGTTTCTTGAATCTCTTCGTAATTAAATTTGTGAGACTCACTTTGATGTTGACATGATATTGAAAAAGAACGTCGAGTTTGGAAGTTGAATTTTGTGCTTTGACGCATTTTTGATACATTTTAGATTTTGTAACCGTTAATCATTGAAAAGAATTCAAATTAACCCGCATTTTTTTCTCAGACTTAATTGTAAACAAAATTTGATAATTTTAAAATTTCTGAATTAATAAGAACGACTTTATTAGTAATTTTAGTGTTAAGTTCTTTGCTCACAGTCAATTCATAGCTTTCAATCATTTAAATCAATAAACTACACAAGTTTGAGCCATAATTTGCGTACGAAAATGCGAAGTGAATATGTAAACAAATCAATTTTAAATATAATACTCGCTGAAGTATCAAAATTCCGATATCTCGTATTAAATTCCCAAACACCAGTTCCTCAACTTTACACACACTTATCTGAATCGCCTGCTTCCAAGAATATTTTCGCCCCATTTCTACATTAAACAGCACAGAAATAAAGACTGTAAATCGATGATTATTATGAAGTCTGTATTTGTGGTTGGATTGAGAAATACTTCATAAATAATGCATCGCCCTATAGAGAATCCATTTCATCAATGCCATACGTCTGCTATTATATTACGCGTAATAACCACAAATCCCATTAAGACAACAAGATAATAAATTTATTAATTTCTCTAAAAAGTATGCAAATCAGAAGAGAAATTCTTTAAAAAACTTCTGTGAATTAACTTATGGAAATAAAAAGAAATTTATTTAATGTTCATAAAAAGTGATATAAGCCACATAAAAATAACATAAGTGCTGTCTGTAAATTCTGCTAAAATAACGGCAATTAAATGTAAACATCACATCATTTTATGATGTAGCATGAACATAAATGACAAACAGAAAAAGTGAAAACTCTCGTAAAACGTAAATGTGCTATGAATCGTCTTTACGATTTAGTCCCATAAAAATTCTTTTCTTTTCGATGAAAATCCTTAAACGTGACGGGAGGAAGAGAGTCAGGGCCATGTAGGAAGAGAAATGAAAATAAATAAATAAAATGAAAAGTTTCTGTTTATTCAAATCGGAAAAATCCAAATCAACAATATTATGAAATGAAAGATGATACGAGACTGGTATGCGAAAAAGAAATAGGATATAGTTGTGTGCAGTGGATAGTAACTTATTGAATTCTTAGTTTTTTGTGTGTTTTTGGATGTTGAAAATAGTAAATTTAAATTTATTTGCTTTATTAGCAAGTCTGATATGAAAAAATTGATTGCAAAGGCTTTGCTCACTCTCATTTTTAATGACAAAACCTATTATGTAACAAATAATCAAGAAACAAAGCTAAAATCAAATTTAAAAGTCTTCAGGTGAGAATGTAAACAAAGCATTTTTAAAATTTCAATCATTTCGATCAAAACTTTAAAAGCCAATTCAAGTCATCCTCCACAGCATTCGTATATATTTGATAAAGACAGTATCGAAAAGCAGACTCTCTTGTGATATAATATTTCAGCAAAAAGAAGCTAAAACGTTCTTCATCCTTCTGTTCTTTGAACTTCAAAAAGGAAGAAGAATAATAAAAATGAATTGGAAACGTTTTTGGAAATTTTCCTTTATTATCCATTCAGAGAAATTTCATTCGTTATCTCTTCTCTGTCCATTTGGATTATTGCATGTAATATTATGAGTAAGACAATGTTAGATGATGCAGAAAGAAAGCCAGTAAAGAAGTCTGTATGTATTATGGCGAGTACATTGTAGAGAGATTCTCAGATTACTCCATTTGTCGTATTATTAATATTCAAGATGTTTGTTTTTTCTGAATTATGATGATTTTATGGATATTTTCCTATTCATGCATAATACAGTTCAGCTATATAGATACTTATTATACGATACCATATGTGTATGTATGTGCGTATCAAGGAAAATGGAACTAAAAGAAATTATCCCTCATATGAGATGGAAATAAAGGCATTTCGTATGTTCGTCTTATAACCCGCTATACTATTTATAAGAAACGCAAAAATATGTGGAATAGGAACAAGTATGAAATTCTATGAGGATGTTGGATTAAAGCGCATTTCTCTCCAACACTGAACTGATTTTCCAAGTCTCCTTAATCAATGTCCTTGAAGATGTTTGACATTTGTGACGTTTTCAGTGAAAGCAATATTGTGTCCAGTCAGACAACTGCCAAACATAACCTCAAATTTCTCTTGAAGCCAAAAAATGTGCTTGAAAGGCAAAAATAGACTGAAAATGATACATTTTCTTTGCGATAAGTACACTCATGTGTCTTTTCTCCTTTCTCCTTCATTTATTCTGTATGTTTGTTTGTGATATGGTGTATGAATGAACAAATTTTATGTATGCACGAATATTTTTTTTTATTATTTCTCGGGTATCAAAAAAAACTAACGATGCTTCTCAATGGTAAAAGAGTGAATTGGAATAAAATAGAGCTTCCGACATAATGAACTCGTTTGCCTTGTTTATTTGTTAAATTGGAGTTCACTGAACTGCAAATTTTTCCTCCACGCTTTTGTATGTATATTCCCAATTCTCACACCAGGATAGATTATCGTTGAAAAATTGGTATATTGTGCTGCTTAAGAACGAGAAAACGAATTTCCTTAATTTGCAAAAAATTCACTTAAAAATGCATTTTCGAAATTGAAATTTTATATTGTGGGAAAAAACCATTCATGTCTTGCTTGTGCTTAATGTGCACACTAACCAATAAATATCGGATCATGACACAGAGGTGGGCCAAGAAATTTTGTCAGAAATTACATCTAGTGATTATACATGGTACATTAGGGCGTTGCTAAGAGAAGTTTAATTACAGGCACTATCACCGCTTTAGGAAGCGACTTTCGTACACGAGAATATCCTCAAACACTCGATCAGTTGCCCTGTTTCTTGCTGTGCCACACTAATTGAACCCCAATGTAGGCTCCCTAAATGTCTTAATTACAAGATACATACCATGAATCTGAAAAAAATTGTCAAATGTGCCCTGAGGACACCCCTGCATCATGATATAGGAAACTCAGTAAAAAGTAACCCATCCCCTTCATCTTCGATAAATCATCAAAATCGCATTTGCTAAAAGCTGTACACAAAAGTATAAGTACCTCACACGAAAAAAGCTCGTGAAAAGAAAAAAAAATATCATGCAGCATGCTTCCTTGTGTATATCAAGCGTATTGAGAATAATGAGAACATACGAGAACTGCTTGAAATTGAATGATATATAGCAGTTGGCGAATTTCCATAAATCTTACATTTTCCTCTCAAGCGAACAACGCAAATGATTATATTTCATGTTTTTTAATGCTTAAATTCACAAATCAGCGTCTTTATTCTTTCACATTTACAAGCTACAATGTAATATTTTCATGAATTATTGTGCTGTGGCTTCATCACTTTAGTAAGTTGAAGAAGGAGCTTTTAGTTACTGACAGCACATATTCAAATTATGGCATGCAACTGTCTATGAATGCAAAAAATAAATTAATTTTATCTTCTTCTATTTTGAAATGGGGGTTCGTTTATAAATTACGTCCATGTTTTTTCTGAATTTTCGGACCACATTTTCTGTCAAAAAATATTCGTACAAATTTATTTTTTTTTAATTTGAGCGTGTTCCTAATTCTCTCCCAAACTCTTAATACATCATTTATGAACGCCCCCCCCCCCCCCAATGAATATTTTCCATTATCATTAATGCAGTAAGGATTGGAAAATTTGCAAGTTTAAGAAAAATCTTCGCTTTTTCTTTTTGATTAAAACTCATGAAAATTTTTATGCTGATTGCTGATAAATCAATGAAAAGTCTTTGAATTTGGAATGAGAAAAATTTATTATAATCGAGATTTTTTTTCATGAAGGAATTTTCTTCCTCAATTTTCAATTTTTCTTTATCACAGTAAAAAGCGCAGAAAATGCAAATTTATCGCTTTTCTGATGATTTCCTTTTCTTTCTTATTTAAAAAAATTGAAATTGAATGAAAAGTTTTTTATGTGCATTTCTTTTTTGCTGCTGATGTATTTCTTCAAGGAGACTAAGATTCACGACGACAGTAAAACAGAACGAGACGGAAGCTCTTTACATTTTCTTAAATGCAATTTTCTTGATGAGGAGTTATGTTGGTGTCTCGAGGTTGTCTGTCTGTCTGTTAATGTGTTCTTTAATCTGTTCATGTTTCTGTTTTTCATGATCATTGGACACTGTCTCGGTCAAGTTCTATATGCATGTAATTAAGTGTTGTCTTAGCCATCCTAAGCATAATCAGCTGATTGCTTCTATTGAGTAATTGGCAAGGAGCTTGGTTCAAATTTAATCTGGCTATTCAAAGTCTTTGGTTCAAATCCTATCATTTCTTAATTTGAATACTTACCTGCTTAATGGATAAACTTGAGATTTCTAGTAACGTTAGATGAAGGTCAGGAACTTAAGAGTTTTTGCTTTTGGCTAGTTTGTCAGCAGTCAATCAAGCTTTTATCTCTTTCCTTTGTTTATTGTAATTCATATTTAAATGGAATCAGAGCCAACAAAAGCGCTTCTAAGTCTCATCCATTCAGTCTTCATTGCTAGTCATTTTCATCCCGACTGAATATTTGTCAAGGACTGGATGCTCACTATAATTTATTTCAATTCATCTAGAAATGCTTTTTTTATAGCTCTCGTTTCGTGGAACGGAAATTTATTACAAATTAATACCCTGTGCACTTGATTGAGATTATTCTGTAGAATATTTCAAGTATGTCAAGTGTCAATATTGACAACGACAAAAGACTCAACCTAGGAAATTTTCTAGAGACAACAAAAGAAAAAAATAAAGTAAAGATAAAAATTGACAAACATGAGCGAGCAAAAAGTTTAATTATGAGATGTCAAGAAGACACATCTCGTGATCCTCTCAGATTTTTATTGCCTCACTCAAAAAATTACTGTTTGTTATGAATGAAAAAACTTTTCTTTTCTGCTTTCATTGCCTATTTTTTTTGGTGTTTGCATGATGGGAGGGCAGCTATGCCATAAATTACCTTCTTCCTTATTCTAAGCTTACTAAACTGAAAAATGCAGGAAAATAAAACAATAAGTTGGGAAAAAAAGCTTTGTACAAACAATAAATTTTCGTTTTATAATAAAATTGTAATTTATTGCCGTGTCGCTGTTATATGAATCTGTTTTAATGTGAGGAGGGGAGCAACTTAGACCTTTTTTTTCTTTTGACTTTAATTTCCTCATATAATTGAATGCTGTAAATATTTCAATACACATAAAAACAGGCAAATTGGCAACATTTTAAGATTATAAAATGTTATCAAAGCTCGTTTTTTTTGTGACCATGAGAATGAAATATGCTAAAGTCATCATCATTACATCACAAAAGCTACTTCTTCTTATCCTCTCTAGATGTCTTTTTCATACACTGAGAATTATCCTCATTTTCTTAAATGGCAATAAGGTGACAATCATTCAAATTTCCCATGCCATTTCCCCCCTTGAGCTACCTTCTATCTACAATGATAACATAGTAATTTACCTCTGATATTTTAAAGCCAATGGCACACATCAAAATAAATTTGAGAATGAGATGATTGCTAGGTGAGGAACTTGAATGAATGAGACAACGTAAATTTGTGATGATTTTTTTTTGGTAGATCTTGGAGATTAAGGCGCATTATAATGATAAGTTTGAGTTATTACATCTAGAAATATAATTTACCGTTAATATTCGAAAATTTCCCTCCAAAATTAGGAAGCTTTTTGAATGTAAAGCATTGAAATTTCAGAAAAATCTTTTTTCTTTATCAGTTCACTGATTTATTGACTAAACTTAATGGTAAATGCTTTGCTCCTACTTAATAAGCGTAACACAACCATTAAAATTATTCAAAAGCATGAATTTAGTGCAAAAATTGATGTCAAAATCTTGAAGTGAAGAGTTTGAAATTTCGAAAATGATTTTCGAACAAAAGTATAAGATATCAAATCAAATCCTCAATTTTAAACCTAAAAGCTTAAAAGTTGTTTTGACCAAGAATCTTAACCATTGAAAATGTCTAAATCTCGTCTAGATCGTAGTCTAGTAAAGAACCTTATCATTCAATCAGAAGCATATTCAGACAAACTGCAAATTTACATAACCAGAAAATCTAATAAATACTGTAGACGTCGGGATAGATGAATGAAAGAGGTACATCAACTATAAGATCGAGAGAATGAGTAAAAAAAGTAAATTGGATGATTTTATTTTCCTTAGAGCAAAACTGAATGTTGCTATGTGCTTCATTTGATGATTCCCTCTATCAGGAAATAAATTAAATGTTTTTTTTCTCTCTATCTCCTTTTTATACCTTTCCTTATGGCAATTTTTCGTAAATTTCTTCTTCTTCTTGTTCACATCATCATGCAAAACATGCAAAATAACAGAGATGAAGGAAACAATTTTACCGCTTCAGAAAAAAAAATTAAATTTAGTGTAAAAATGAAACGTGTAGATTTAGATGGAAAATAAAAATTGCCACATAATTGTATTGAGTGACATGTCACATGATACGACATCAAATAGATGAGAAACATTTGATGCTCGACGAAGCATTTAAAAGAAAAAAATTTATCGTCTGTTATGAATACCTTAACTGCGCGGTTTGTATTACAAGTTTTTATGATTTCACGTGGTATTATCTGCAAAATGTTGTATCTGTACATGTTATAAAAAATTCAAAAAGCTCTCCTTACTGTTGTTAAATTTGCCGAAAACCAACGGCAATGAATGAGGATTCGTTTATTATCCAAGCATTACACTGATTCATGAAATCTTATTTCCTTACTAAATTGCATTTACATTCTTTTATTTACAGCCTAAAACACGTCCCACAACAGTATTTCCATCACGTTATGCCAGTCTTCCATCTCACATACAGAAACCTATAGAAAATGATCAACAGCAACCTGGGAATATTTATATTGGCAGAGACTTTATTGGCATCAGAATTAATGACGTTCATAATGCTGTGCTAAAGAGTGGAGCACGAATGCCTGGTATGTATACATTCTGTTGCAATAATATCATCATACTCCTGGTCGTTATCTCCATTTCATTAGTTGCAATTTAATGGCGTGTGGCACGGTTCTATCTACTTATTGTGCTTCCTACTCTCATTGCTGTCAACCCTAAAGATATGAAATAGAAAAAAAAGAAAGTTTTTCTTCTCCTTTCATCTTGAAATTAACGACAGGCATTAAAAACAATTTCTTTTTTTTGTTGAGCTTCTTTGAAATTCTTCATTCCTCCTTTTTCCAATGTACCTTATCATGTTCATTGTGTGGTATGAGTTGGGAAGAAATGAAATGAGGCAATCGTGTATTAAAAAGGACAATTTGAAATAGTGAAAAAGATGGGAAAGTTTTTTCTTCTATTCATCCTCTATTTTATAGGAAATGAAGAATAGAAAGTGAAAATCAGGGGATGAATAACTTGTAGTAAGAACTATAGGAGATTAAAGATTCAATAGAGGCAATTTAATTGTTCAAAATCAACCAGTGTTGCATTCTGGCTATTTGTCTGGATCAGATAAATTCTGAGACAGAAATTTCTTCATAAAATCGATTCTACATGTAGAAAGAAAAAAACCATCTACATGTAGATTGTGTCTACATGTAGAATCTGTCTACATGTAGATTTAATGTAGATGTCTACGATTCTACATTCTTCTCTGATGTAGACCTGGAAAAAATGTAGAATTATAGACATCTACATCGAATCTACATGTAGACAGATTCTACATGTAGACACAATCTACATGTAGATGGTTTTTTTCTTTCTACATGTAGAATCGATCTTTATGAAGAAAGTTTCTTAGCTAGACAAAAACTATTGAAGAATCTACATTCTTCATCTAGTGTAGACATCTACATTTGCAACACTGAAATCAACCTAGGATTTTAGTAAATGAGTGTCTACTTCATGTTGTTGGGAGCTATTGCCGTCTATTGCCGTTAACTTCACATCAATTGAATCAAACTTTCTATTCATTTATTGCCAACTTCATGCTATAAGGTGCCAACTTCAGACGTTTATTTCTCATCAATTAGATTATTTTGAGCTTTTAAATGCAAACTGCTACTAGAATCCCTCTCCTCAACCATAAATTGTTTCCAATCCTTGACACAAGAGAAGGGTTTGACTTAACGTCGACACATAGTAAGAAAAACGTTTGAAAGGTCTTAACTTTATGCCATAATGGTCCATTACAATTCTTAAAGAAAACCCACATGCAGCATACGAAACAGACTTAATCCTTAACACAGCCACTTTCTGTACTAATTGTCAAATTAATTCCATTAACACTTGACATCACTTTCTTGCCATAGTTCAACAATAAAAATAGAAATAGAAAATTCATGAGGCTTAAAAAATTTACTTTTACGATTCTTATGCCTTGTTGCCTTCTTTTTTGTGAATTGAAAAAGGAAAATGAGAAATTTCTTAAAGTACTTTATTTCCCTTAAGGGGTACATGCTCATTCTTAATGCATATCCCACCCACATGTTATCCTACATGTTTATACAATTTGAATTGAAAATTTGTTTCTGACCTATTTTCATGCCTTCCCTTTTTTTTTGCTATATATGCCTAAAATTATTGTGCTTATGCTTCCTTAGAGCTTTAATTTAATGAAAACTGATGGATGGCTTTGCTTCTAAGGATTCAATTCATGTGTACTCATACCTTTACAACAAATAAGGAAGTCTTTGTTGACGAGAATAATTAAACAGCCTTTAATTGCCTTTAAGCTTCCTCTTTGAGGTTCCAAAAAATTATGCTCATCATTCATCGTTCGCTTTACCTTTCGCCTCGTACTATAAATTAACTTATATTACTTCCAAACCGCTGACGCCACACAAAAAAGAAAATTATTTACGACATTTGAAAATAATTAAAATTGATTATGAAAATCAGTTTTACCGAAGGGTTCGGTTCCGTCATAACTGACTTATTCATGGTTTACTTGTTTGCGTCCATAATTTACTTCCCCACGTAAATCTCAAATTAGTTTTCTTTACGTCCTCTCCTTCTTTTTTCTATGGCTGCTCTTATTGTTCGTTAAACATTGAAGGCACACATAAAAATGGTATGAATAAGGCTAATTGTGGGGCGACAGAAGCGCGTTTTACTTGATTTAATGATAAAGTTTAATGATGATGAAAATGGATTTGAAAATTAACGGCTGATGAGAATTTGAAAAATAACGGTCAAAAAATATTTGAAAAAGTGAAACTAGTTTTCATTCTTCATGACATCAATTGAGTCTATTCCTCAATGATCTGTTCATACTAAGTATCGTCATTTCCTTTAAGAAAGTATGCGCTTAAAGGTGAAATTTAATAAAGGGAGATTGAGAAGTGAAAGTACCCTTATTACGTGCAAACGTATATGTACATAAGCATAGCTTTAGGAACCACAAAATGAAAGCTTTAGTCAAAAAAATAATACAATATCCCTTAAAGAAGCCCTGATTTTTTTTTTGTGAAAATAATTCAGAAAAGCCAATAAGTGTCCTTAACACACAAAATCTGCTTTCTATAGAATTCCTACATACGTACAAACTTCCCACTCCTTAAAACATCTTTTGCTAAATCTATCGACCGCAGGCATTTCCAATTCGACTCAATCTTATGAGATATTGTACATCAATAGCAATTAAATGAATGCTCGATACTGTACGTTTTATAGGTTTTTATTATTACGAGATCTACAAATCCGCAATGATGATACACAATTTTCCATTTTTCTCTGTTGCTGCTCCTCATTTCTGGGATATCATATTGCTTTATCTTCTAAAATTACACTTCATATCTTCGTTTTCATCCTCTATCTCTCGGTAACAGCATAATGAAATTTCAATGCACATACTTACAGAAGTAATTCATGATATTAAATTATCATTTCCTGTGAGTGAAAGTTTTAAGATTCTTTGTATAAGCAACAATAATCCTCTTTGTAGAAGATGAGGGGAATGAGTATTTCTAAGTTACGTCTAGGTTTTGAGGAGTAGATGGAGAACTGTTGGCTAGGTCGTATTCATTTCCAAGCTACAATAATTCATCAGTTTTGAGCCACTTGTACCCTCAAAGCCCTCTCACTCTTGACACTTTTGCCAGAACTACCCAAACCCCAGGCACGTAGCCAGGAGAGACTTGTCCCCCCCCCCCCCCCCCCCCCCTTAAACGTTTGGAAACGCTTAAGAGGGGGACAAGACCCTCCTGGCTACGAGCCTGACAAACCCTCAACACTAGTTCTGGGCTGAATGACAATCTTAATAGGTATAACATGTAGCAAGTCCAGGAGCTCAAGATTCCACTATTGATACCGTCATTTATGAACAACCCCTCCTCTTTAGCAGATAAAGATTCGTTAATTTTTTAGAGGAAGAAATGATTTGATAAGAGCAATAATAAATATTTCCATAGCTTAAAGCATTCTAATCTACGGTGATTGAACCCATGTGTCTGTATATGTGCGAAAAACTTTAACGTTACAGCATAAGCCTACACGAAATCCTTTTATTATGTTGTTGCTTATATACTCTAAGAAAATTCTCCGTAAACATCTATTTATTTATATATGTAGGCAAACGAAGCTAGTCATGCAATAAAGTGATGTCCTAATCTTACCACATCTCATTATTTATGATGTAAAGGTATCTCGGTATACTTGCCTGCCATACCCCCACATCCTTTCTTTATGGCCTTCATCAGTTTTTTTTACTCTACTTTCTGGCCTCAATTTTCTTTTATTTTCTACATGGATATTTTTGAAACACTGTAGAATCAATATGATGTCATATCCTTCCGTATTGTGCTCTCTTTTTTTTCGCATTCAATGAATGAAATGAGTGAAGGCACAGGACGGTAAAAAAAAGAAGAAGAAGAAGAAGAGAATAAAAACGAATCAGGGATTAATGAAAATGAATGAGGAAAATCAATAATTGATATTTTACGACTCAACTGGCACACTGATTCATTTAGCTTTGGCAATTTTTATCATTTGTTCTATTACCGACTTTGGGTGTTTTCAAACAGAACTGATGCTGGTTATGTTATTACGATTACGATGCTTTTTCATCTCATTGTGTTTAGTGGGGAAGTTGTTCATTTGTGGTAGCTGGCATTTGATAGGGACAGGGAACTAGGTACGAGATCAGAGTAGGTGCGAGGTTGGAATAAGTACGAGATGAGAGAAGGTCCGAAGTGAGGTTAGGTATACTTTTTGATACAAAAGTCGAATGTGTTGGGAATTGAACCCTTTCTAACCACTCGATTCAAGAAATCTGCCAATTCAAAACTTTTATACCTTATTTCCATTTAGTTGCTTGTTAATCATATACAAAGATATACTTCATGGATGTGAATGATGGACATCACTCATAAACAGTTCCCATGTTAGCTTTTTCAAACTCATTTCAATATGATACATGAATATTGGGTCGTACCGACATAAATACTCACACATTAACGCAGAAAAAGCACGTAAGCTTTTTATTTGTAAGTCTGATGGAGGCGCGAGGATATTTGTACACAGTGATACGATACGAGAAAATGTTTAGACGTACACGAGCATTAATATGGGAATGTGAAAAATTATAATTTAATTTATGTTACTGTCAGCAATGCTTCTTGATAGCAGGGACTTAAATTGCTACTGGCAAACTGAAAACTGCTCAATTAATTATCAGAATGGCGCGTAAAGTCTGTGTATGTCTCATCACTGTGCATTGAACATACAACGTATGTTTTGGAATGATGTTGAAGATTTTTTTTTCTCTTTCTTCATGACTGATCTCCTTACATTAAGGGGGTTAAGAAAAATAAAGGAAGCAAAATACAATTTGTTATGGAAACATCACGTTTAACGCTACAATTTTTGCTATAAAATGCACATAAATTCTGCTAAGAATGGAACAAAAACAAAGCATAAAAAGGATGAAATGGGAAACTGGTTTGGAAGTCATGTCTAATTTTGTAACGGTTGATTTGAC